AGAAGTCAAAGACTAATGGGCGCAGGAAGAAAGCCCTGCGCCAGCTCCATGGCGCCCAATGAGGACCAGGCTACGGTCAACCCCAGCAATGCTGCACTAAGAGGCCTGGGTTTTTTCAAACGCACACATTCAGGCAGATTTGCCAGACATCCAAAGAACTTCCTYTCCCTCCAATTTGGGGATGAGGCAGTGAAAGTTCAGGGAGCTACAACATGTATAATAGGAAAAATGAGAAATTATACCCCATTTGTGTATGATATATCAAAGTGCATAAATGCATTCTACCGTCATGTATAACTAATTAAACAAACAACAATTAAAAATAAAATAAAGCTAAGAATAAAATGAAAACAAAGACTCTATGTCACACCTAAAAAAATAAAAATTAAAATAAATAGAAACTCAGCAAGCAAAGTGCCTGCCTGTGGCCACACCGCAGGGAGGGCTGCTCCTGTGTGCACGTGAGAGGCTCTAGGTGTGACACGGGCACATCGAGGATGGGAGGGAGACCAGTGGAAGGAGGCCAGAGACTCAGACTTCAAACCTTTCTCCAGACTCACTTGGGACACACTTTGTGTGGCATAAAGTGAACTGGCTGCCCAAACCAGGGGACAGCCCTTAGCCTTCAGTGTCACCCCTCCATCCTGCAGTCTGTTCTCCTCCAGAGCTCACCACACATCAATTTTCTCCAGCCTGGTGCCCAGTCACAAGCAGGACSTTCGCACAGAGTAACTGCTCTGCCAGTCTCCCTACCAGGAAGGGCTCACAGTCACKGGCTGGGCGGTGGGGGCTGAGCTGGCAGGTTGTGACAAGAGCAGAATCGTGATAGACAGGTAACAGTCACAAACACTGAAGAACCAGCTTGCTTCTGGTCCAAGACCCAACCTGGCATCAGCACCAAGGAGGACAGTGTACCAGCAAGGCCACCTAGGATGGGTCCAGCTCTTCCTTGCACATAGCCCATAACAAGAAGCCTGAGGCTCCAAGAAACCAAGTGGACTCCAGAGACGGCACACTCCTGCACATGAGGGCCCGACACCCGGGGCCTTCACACAAGACACAGGGCTGCCTTACTGGAGGTCCCAGACGCGGGACCCTCTGTAGAACACTCGCTACCCAGGGCAAGCAGCCTCCGTACATGAAGGTGACTGTGGAGGGAGCAGACTAGGGTGGCGGGGGGGCTGGTTGAGCCCTGGCTGCACTTTCCTGGGACAGACTCACCTACCTCAGAGCTCTTGTGGGAGTGAGGAGTGAGGAGTAGAAGCCAAAGAAGAACCCCATTGGGGGAGACTGGAAACTGAGAGAAACAGATGCTTATTTACATCAAGCTGTGAGGGGTGTCGTGCCTCTTAAACCAGAAAATAAACTCTCAATTCTCACTCTCTCAAGTATATAAAATATTTGAGGACTTTTAATAGTTGTGATCAAAACTTTCATCTCTTCAGCCACCACTAGCCATATCTAATTAGGATAAGGTATGTTAGTGACAGGACTGTGGCCCGGGACTTCTTTCCTTGTGATATTAATTGCACTTAAAGAAAAAAGCATGAACTGTACTTATGTTCACTAATTAGTATGGTTTGCTGGTTAATAATGGGAAGTCAAACTGCCTTTGTCTTGTCATCTGCAATTAGCTAGAGATGTTTAAAGTTCTCCTTTTCCTCCTGGCAGATGCACTGAGAGAGGGGCTGCAGACATGGAGGTAGGGCTGCCTCCCCCAGCAGCCTTGGACACCTTGTGTAAGGAGTTCTCCAGATGGGCCACCTGACCCCACTGTTGAGGGCCCAAGGTGCCAGACAGTAACCCAAAAGCCATCTCTGCCACAGGGAATGGGGGCCTCAGAGGCAGAGCTGGTGGCACAGTGAACTCTGGCTGCCTTTATCCACGCCCATCTCTGGATGAAGAGCTGGTCCTATGGGTATGGCAGCAGCACTCTGGTATGTATTCTACTTCTAATTCCAGGAGTGAGGGGTTCTGGTTTAGCCAGGGGAATGAGACCTGGAGTCCACTCTGCAGAGCCCATGGCTGTGGCCTCAGACCCAAGGCAAGCAGGATGGGAGGGGTGGCCTTGAGGTCGACAGCTCTGTCCCCCTGCCCCACTGTGGTTCCCATGGCCCCTCTGCTCTGCACTTTTCTCCCCAGAGGAGGAGGAGCCAGCCAGAGATGTCAGCCTCATCCCCTGGGAGCCAGCACAGAAGGGACCACAAGTCAGAACAAAAGAACAAGGCTGGGAACACAAGCTAAATCCACAAAAGGAGCAGAGCAAGCCAGCAGCAAAGGGACCYGGGAGCGCAGGAAGCAGGAGGGTGGAGAGAGCATCCCACATGGCCTCGCTGAGAGGTGCCTAGAGAGGAAGGGCACGGAATGTCCTGTTGGGATCACCCAGGCAGCCTGGGCAACCTGGGGCCACCTGCTACACGGGGCTACTAAAAGTAATTAAAACTGAAAAGTCAATTTGAGTTTCAGTAGGACTAGTCATAGTAACACTCATGACCAGAGACTCCCCTAACAGCTGGCACAGATAAAGCACGTTCCCATGGAGAACAGCCCCATAGGATGGGGGCKGCCTAGCCTGGGGTCTGTGGCTCAGGGGAAACCACCTACACAGGCTCAGTGAGGACAGACAGTCCCTGCTGGAGAGGAGCCTGGGGCCAGTCACACAGCCCACAGGAAACAGTGGCAGAGTCAGGATCTGAACACAGATGGCCAGGCCCTGGGTTCCTGCCCCCGCCTCCCCGCCCAGCCTCCCCAAGGGCAGCATGAGGGCTGACTTAGCAGCAGATACCCCTTGGCCCCAGGTGCGCTGGTGGGAAGGTCAGAGGTAAGAGCAGATGCTGTTCCCCTGGCCCCCAGGCACTGCCATGTCTTATTTTCCTTTTAACTAGAAAGAAGGAGAGAGAAGTAAAATAAACAAGAAGAAACAAGCTGAGGACTGGGCAGTCAGAGGCAGAGAGAAAAACCTGCGGTCAACATTCATCTGAAGGAAACCCACATGAGGAACCTGTACCCTGTCCACCTGCACCCCAGGGACATGCCTGGGGCAAGGTGCAGAGCCTGCTCATGGAGGAGACCTGCAGTACCTGTGCCACAGGGGCTGCCCATGCCCACTCTGGCCTAAGGGCCCAAAAAGCTTCTATCTTCTCACCTCCCTGAGAAGAGACCCAGGGTTAGCAGTTTCTCCAAAGCCACATGGAAACAGGGGAGGGCAGGGGTCAGGGTCAAGGCACTCCTGCTCCTGAGGAAAAATAGAGGGTCCAAATTCAAGGGCAGCAGTGGGCGACCAGCCAGCTGCTTAGTCATAAAGCCACAGGCCTGGCATGTGCTTAGCACAACTCATTTCTAATTCCTCTTGGCCTCGTGTACATTATGAAAACAAGGCCCTTGGGCTCATTTCAATTCAGGTCAACACCAAGGAAACCATGCATGTTGACACACAGAACATCAGGGTCTCCCTGGGGCTCAGTAAATGGATGCACGAGTCCTCAAGGAACACCCGGCCCCCACCTCAACCCTGGCTTCCTCAAAGTCAATGCGAAAGAGGCCCCTGTTGAACTGCCTGGAGGACTCAGTTATTGAGGACAAAGTGTGGAATGTCCACAGGCCAAAGAAGAGGGGGTAGAGCTGCCCACCATGATGCTGAAACCTGGCAGCCAGAGTGCGGAGGATGCCGCAGACTGTGAACCGCGGTGCAGCAGCAGCCAGAGTGGATGCGGGAGGTTTCAGAAGAGGTGGTAAGAATGATGCTCCTGACGCTGAGCTGTGCTGCGGCCTGCCACCTGCCTCCTCACTGGCACCCAGATGTGGTTGGCCTGCAGCCCCACCCCGGCCCTCCTGGAAGGCTGCCTCAGCACAGCAGCGTGCTACTCCACCATCCACCATGAGGGCAAGGAGTCCTCCCAGGACCCCTTGCTGTCCCTCTACAGTTGACCTCCTGAGGCTTCAGGGCTGTTACCTAAGTGCTGCTGTCCACATTCACTTCCGAAAAACCAGCCCTACCTGCCCTGGATGGCGCTCCTGGGGATCTCCGAGGGACAGCCTTCTCCCCTCATGGCTTCTCCTGATAGGGTCTGGGAAGGAGCCTCTCTCCCAGGAAACACTTCCTTCTCCAGGACTTGAAACAAAAGTGCCCCCCCCCCCCGAGCCCTGGCTCACAGCTTCTGCCTGGATACGAGGCCAGGATGTAGGAGTGCCCAGAAACAGGCTCCGCTCTGGYTCCCTCCAGCTTCACACTTGCTCCAGGATAGAAACGCCACCCAGGGCACAGGACTCTACAGTACCTGTGCCATTTTCCCTACAGCGAAGCCAGCCCTGCTTGCCATGGCCCTCCACCATCATCCTACCACCGCCCTCATCCCCTGCCCCTCGGCCCTGGCCCCCTCTCCCTTTCCCTGCAGTCCTGTCTTCACTAGCAGCTCAGATCTTGCTGTTTATTCTCTGCGTAGTCACAGTTGGAACCCTCCACTGTGAGCCAGGAGGGCAGGAGCCTGTGCTGCTGGCTGCTGCATCCCCAGAGAAGACAAGACTGTCCTTTAGTACTTGCTGAGTGGACAGCGAACGCGCCAAGCCTCCGCACAGCTTCCCACAGGCGTCTCCGCTCTGCTCAGCCCCACATCTGGGCTTCTGCCCAGCAGGGACTCAACMAGACCTCTCTGGGGCCAACCCTACCTGTGCTGCTAGGGCCAGCAGGAGCCCAGCCCCCACTGCATCTCCTCATGGCTCACCTGAGCATCTCTGGCATCACGCGTCCTTCAGCGCCTGCTGCACATGTGGGGCAGTGGGAGCCACCCAGCAGAGGCCAGCAGTCTGCTACTGGCACAACTGGAAYTCACTTTCCATCACACCACTCTTCCATTCTCCACACCATTTCCAAAGACAGGAAAGAACGCATGCCTGCAGGACAAGCCCTGACAGGGATGGGACTCTAGACCCAGGATCAAGGCAGTAAACTGTGGGCGGCCCTTTGCCACACAGTGACAGCTGAGCACCATTTCAGGACTCACCATGTCAGCTCTCTGTTTCTGGCCTCCCAGTTCCTCCAGAGCCTGCGTCAACTGAGCCTGCAAAATAAGACCAAGACGGTCAGAGGCTGTGTGTGAGCACTCCCTCCCAGGGCTGCAGCAAGGACCCTCTCCCACCTTCACTGCAGCCTCCTCTCCCTGCTGGGCCAGCAGGGCTGGGAGTTGGGCAGCAGGCAGCAGACCAGGTCAGCCAGGGTTGATTGCCCCTGCAGACAGGACAGGATCCCTGTTTGATAAATGTAACCGAGTGAATAGTCTGGTAACATGACACCCCAAATCTGTCCCAAACCCTGCTGCTGGGTTATGCGTGGAGACAGGAGACACTTGGCATGGGGTGCTCAGTGCCCTCAGTTGATGGAGGAAACCATCCACCTCCCTCTGGCACATGCACATTCTAGAGAAACTGACTGATGTGGCTGTGCTGATAGGCTACATGCCACACAAACCTAAAACTCCAGATAGCCTGTTCTGAGTGGGCCATGGAAAGGCCAAGAAAAGAAGCAGGGAATTCTTGACCAGATGAGCCAAGGGTGGCTGTACTGGGCCTGAGCTGTACTCCTCCTGACCAAGAGCCTATGAGCACCAAGGCACCATGTCTGCCGTAGATGTGGGGCTGACATCACCAGCTCCGACTCCAGCCAAGACCAGCATCCCTGAGGCTGCCTGGAACCTGCTGAAGCAATCTAGCAACGAGAAGCTGTCTATGCGAGGCCCAGCAGCAGTTCCTGAGGCCACCTGGGAAGAAGCACAGACCAATCCCAGAGTGGCAGCGCAGGGACCCAGCCCTATGGGCATGGTTGGCCTCCAGAGACACACGTGGCCTCTTCACTGGCCATGTCCTCAGGTCAGGGTAAGATMACATAGTGAGAATAGATCACAGCCCCCACAGGCACTGTCCAGGCTGCCTCTAGTGGACAGGAAGCAACACATGGAGAAAGGGAGGATGCCGGCAAGGGAACATCCCCTGCCCTAAAGCTAACAGCATGGGCTCTGTCTCTAAAGCCACCACAAAGTGACTCGACCACATACAACTATGGTCATCTTCACAGAGCCAGGGAGAAAGCCCACTCCAGAAAGGCAGACTCCTTGTGCTGGAAGCTCTGCAAAAGGTTAAAAGGCTAGAGGAACCATCCCTTCAACTTGATTCCTGGGCAGCCACCTTCAGGAGGTAGCACCAACTGGACCTCCTCCTCGAGAGGCACCTGCAGACAGGGAGGGCAGCCGAGCACCTATGGAGGCTCCCAGCATGGCGACTCCTGACTGCTGTTAGCCACCTCTTCACAATCCTGGCAAAGAAGGAAAACTGAAGCCTAGAAGCCAAATCCCACCGCAAGCCTGATCAGTGGTCAGTGACCAGGACAGGGGAGCTGGGGGCCAAAGTCCCGGGGCCTGTTCTCGGTGCACAACTCTTCCACTCTGTCCAGAGGAGGAGGCTGCTGTTTCTTGGGCAAGGGAAGCACAGCAGATGCTGACACCCCCACCACACTCCAAACATCTACAAAGCAATACAAAAACATAAGCTATGCGACAAAAAAGCGGGCAAGATGCACACTTCCCAGAACAGGAAACATACGATGGCGTGCACAGGAAGGCAATTAACATGGGCAGTAATGAGGAAAATGCAAATCAGGACCAACAAGGAGACACAAAAACTGCAAAATTCAGAACTCCTAGTTACAATACTAGAAGTGGAAAGGACGTAAGTCAATGGAGTCTTGTCTAGGTGGACACAGGGAAGGAAAACTATTGGGAAAACAATTTGGTCTTTTCTTAAAGTTTAAATCTGCATAACCTATAAGTCAGTAATTCCACCCAAATATATATTCAAAGAAACTATTACACATGCTTTGACCACCCTACCTCTGTCCACTGGCCACTGAAAGATGGTGAGCAGCAGCTGCCTTTTCTGACTACAGTGCCCGCATCTGAGAGACAAACAGGACACCACTGGGACTTCACCAGTGCTTGCTCGAGCACCAGCATCAGCAGGAACACAGAAAGCTCCCCCAAATAAACAGACATGTCCCATCGATTACTACCAACTCCAGACAGAGCTGTGCCTCGGTAGGACAGTCAACCAGAACCAGACATCTGTGAATGTGCCATGTACATATGTGATGAGCACTGGGCGATATGTCACATCTTGTGGCTCAGTCAAGCACTTCTGGCAAAGAGGCCTCCTGAGCATGTGGCCTGGGCAAGCAGCAGGGTGAAAGGCACCTACTGGGGGGAAGAAAACATGGGCCCAACCAGGCCCTGTCTGCTCCACAGTGGAGGCCCTGTCAGTCACCTTGTCCGCATCTGGATAGTGACTAGATCCTTCCCAAGGTTCTGAATCTTGTTCACCTGAGGCCTGAGCAACAGGTTCAAGACCATCACTCCAACAGCCCTGTAGGGTCTGTGCAATAAGGACCCTCTCACCTTAGACAGACATATAGCAGCAGTCACCAGGAAAGGGCAGACAGGGGAGGCTCTTCTCCCCAAGCTCATGTGCAGTACCTCTAGCAAAGGCTGTTCCTGATGTGGTGGGGGGTCAGCAGAGACAGTGGGAGCTGGGCTCAGCTCCACAGTATCTCCTCCATACTCTTAGGGGCATCAGTGTGCCTTATTCTTGCTGCCTCTGCAATCACCTCAGGAAACGAAGCCGGCCACACAGTCCATCTGCTGCTGCCTTCTCCTTAAAACTTCCTGCTAGGACCAGGCTGCCTTCTAAGCAGAAAAACCCCACCAAGGTATCTTGCCCACCAGCTGTTCCCTGAATGCCACAGTTGATCTGCACWTCTGAGCCAGTGGCCTGGTGTTGATGGCCATCGGTTATGTTCATTCCACTCAAGCTGAGAAAGCTTCTGCTTTGCCCAAGATATCACCACCATGAAGAAAGCTAGACCTGACCTTAAGGCTGCAACTGACAGGGAGGCTGAGGCCCCAGAGTGGGGTGCTGGAGTCCCCACGGCAGCCCCTGTTTAGTTTCTGGAGAGGTGAAGAGCTATCTCAGGGACAACTGACAGGGCAGGTCTCAGTATGAAGGTGTTGTCTCCAGGGACTGTGTGGCAAAGGTGGCACATTGCCAGTACAGCATCCACTGCAGGAACACACATGGCCATGATGGGGTGCTGTGTGTGCTCGGACACGAGCCCTAGACACACGCATCATTTGTGACACGTGGATGCTGTGCCAGGACCTCAACAGGGCTATTTTTATCCTCAAGTGTGAAGTGGCTCCTGATGATCTCGCACCCCTGCCAGTGCGCAGCAGGCCCAGGACGTGGCAAGAAAACCTGCAGGAGGACGCAAGCTGGGACAGGACACCTCAAAGCCCTGATGGGGGCTGGCAACAACTTCTGTCCAATCACAAGATGGCCGGCTGGAAGGACCCTGAGAGCAGAGTAAGCCCCACGTAGAGGCTGTAGCCCATGCAGGCAGATCTCCCCAAGGTCACAGTTAACACGGGAGGGGCTTGATGAAACTCAAGCCACAGGCCGCCCACTTTCCTGGTCTAGCTGACACAGACCTGTAAGAAAATGTGACAAGCTAGCCATCCTGAGAGATCTTTCTAGGCCATAGAATCAGGTCTCGTTTGAGGCTGAGTGCCTTCTCTGCAAGGCAGTGGCCTTGGGGTATGGCTATGGATGCAGAAGTACTCTTGCCTATGGATGGTGGCTAGAAGACAGTTAGCTTCCACTGGCTGCAGAGCGAGCTGACTCCCAAGAAGGCAGCTCCATGGCCAGGTGCACGGTCTGCAGAGCCTGGTTAGGGTACAGGCTGCCAGTCTGGAAACTTAGTGGGCAGGAGTGGGCTTTGCTGAGATGGAGGACATGAACCCTGCCCCAGAATACCCTAGCACATTCAGCTCAGTGTTAATGATTCTGCAGGGCACTGGGTCRCAGGTGTGGGCCTGGGTTGGCTCCCCAGCATTACCAGGAATTTGTTAGAAGCACAGGGTCACAGGCCCCAGTCCTCATGCTCTGAGTCAGAGGGAGGGTCTAGTGTTCTGACCAGCCCTGTAGGGATGCTGATGCAAGCCCAAGTCTGAGAATTGCTGCTGGGGAGACTGAATTTAAAGCCACACAACCAGAGTTCAAATTCCGATGTTTCTTCCTGTCAACAATGTCATACTCAACCAATGGTAATTTCCACAAATTCTGATGAGCTCAGCTGTCAGAATCTTATTGTTCCATCTATAAGATGGGCATACCATCCCTATCTCATGGGGTTGTTTTTAGAATTAAAAAGAATGTATGTGAGAACTTGGCTAAGGCACAGCAGGTGTCCTTGCTGAAAGGCGGTGTGGAGAATCACGCTCCACCAGTGGGAAGGAAGAAAGACTTCCTTTACCCACGAGGCTCACCTCCTGGCACATGCCTCTGTCCCCAGAAGGCGCTGGAGCCTTCCGCTATGTGCTGAGGACCAGTGCTTTCAACCTGTCCCCAACTTCCTAGTTGTGCTCAAACACAGACGGCTCTCAGCCTGGAGATCAGGTGTTTTTTCCTTGGCTCGCCCTCTTACGGTTTCAAGGTTTCCCATCATGCTTCGTCCCTGCTTTTCACGGTGTGATCTTCTCTAGCTCTTCACACAGCAGAGCAGTAAATAAACACACTCAGGAGAAAGGAAAGTCCTTTGCGAGGGCAGTGCCATCTGAGCCCCACAGAAGTAATGGGGAGGAAAGGAAGAGAGGGAATGGTCTGATTTTTCTAAGCTGGAAGTCAGAAATTATTCCAGATCCGCTGCAATCTGAAATTGGGATATTTCCACACAACACGCCTCAGCCAGCAGCACTGTAATCTGTTTTAATTAAATAAACTGGAAACGCAGATCAGGCCAATGAGTGGAATGAAGGTGCCACAAACTTATATTTATAGCTCTATCGACAGAGGACTCATGACATCTGCTACCAACTTCTGCAGCTGTTTTATAAATGGAATAAATAAAACCCATGCAGAACAGCACCAACCTCACCAGAGATGGGCTACTGGGATTCTCCCAGCTCGACATTTCCAGTTTGTTTTACTGAAATGTTTTTGCCCACATTAGAGCAGACAG